GAAAGATCCACCTCCACATCTGTGCCACATTACATAAATGTCCGCGGACAAAGTGTCACACACACACACACGAAGCACAAGCAGCTTCATGTAAGCGACTGTTTCATACTCACCCCGTCTGTTTCTCTCTCTTGTGGCAGGTAAAAGCTTCACTTTAGCTTTATGAGGAGGACATGCTCATTAATCTGCTGCCACGTATATAACTCCTACAGAACTGGGTCTCAAGTGGTCTCAGGGTCGCAGGTCCAGGATCAGGGATTTCTCAGCCCAGCTGTGGATCTGAAGCCAATCAAGCGATATGATTTCGGCCTCCCCTTTGTGTTTTTATTTTTTTTTCCTCTTCCAGCCCGCACTCTTCTTTTTTGGGGTTGTCGCTTCCTGTTGCTTCTAGCAACTCTTGAAAAAAGGCGGAGCTAAAGAATAAAGAAAAAAAAAAGAAAGTCCACAGCGGCATATATCATGTATGAAGACCTGTAAACTCTGCTGGGAGAGACAGTAAGCATAATATATAATCCATGCTCCACAGTCAGGGGTTAGTAAATGTATTTTATATGTGCCAGAAAGCGTGCAATAACACTAAACATTCACTGGCTGTATTATAAATAAACACAAATAATAATACACAATCTAATCTAATCTAAGCACACTGTATGTACTGTATATATCCACATGTAAAGTCTAGCCTATAAAGTAATCTGTTACATTACCCATTCAATATTTATTACATCACTCTTGCACTATTCTTATTAACAGTATGCAGAAACAATTCAAGTGTTGTTATTCATAATTGTTGTTTATATATACTTCTGTTGTATGTACTTCAGAGTATACAGTAATGTATAAACTAGTATAAACTTATGTTTGTTCAGCTTTGTTGTCCTGGTTTTTAGCTTTATATTTAAATCTAACTTTATGAACAACTTAAAACCAGAGTCAAATTAGTTGATAAAGCTGATTCTGATCTCTTAGATAATAATAATAATAATAATAATAATAATAATAATAATAATAATAATAATAATAATAATGATAGATAATAGGCCTACATATGTGTCACACACACCTAGTATTTCATGACCTACCACAAAATGTTTTTTTTTCTTATTTTAATTTAGTTTATTTATTTGCACAAGTAGCCAAACAACATACAAAAGCATAATACTTTAAAAGGTTTATCAGTAAAGAAAGAAAAAACACAATCAAACATATTTGCACACAGAAGATAAAAGAACCAATAGATTATATGAATGTACCATTAATAGAATAAACATAAGATTTATACATAAATAAAGTTGCTATAATCACAGTCATAATATACAGTGAGAGGAGAAAGAAGACACAATATAAAAAGTTCAAGTAGCTGTTCAAATCTTTAATTTAAGCAAATATTTTAAATAGCCTATGTGGCGTTTTGGCTGAATCAGTCTATTTGTATTGTTTACAGTTGCTAAGATATTACAGGAACATTTCTAATTTTTTTTTTAATAATTTGATCATCATCAGTTTCCTACTTCAGTTGTGTCATTGCCAGCTTCATAACCACAAAAGTCGTCATATTATTACTAATCTGGGTGTAACAGTGAAAACTCATCATAGTAAAAATGAAAATGAAAGAAAGGAAATGTGAGAAAGTTCAGTACACAGTTACTTATGACTTAAGTTCAAACACATTTAAAGTCATTTATTATCCATGTACAGTACAGTCACACTCACCTATCACATCTACGAGTACACATTAAATCTCATGTATTATTTCCATAAAAGTGAAAAGGGTTTCATTACATCTAATAATATTCAATGTTTTGGACACAAGATAATTTATTCCTTAAGAATGAAGTAATAAGAAAGAAAACACATGAAAAGCATTGTCCCCCTCATTGTAGCTCTCTTGCTGTCTCATTTTGGAATAATGAGTTGAGGCTTGGCAGACTTTGCTTTATTGGATATCTATAAATGTAACAATACCATGAAGCTGCTCAATTTACATGATTTTAATCACTGATTCATCAGTACAGTGGCCAGTCTGACCACTACTGATTTAATCTTGAAACAGAAATATCAGGACATCTACCTACTGTTTGTTACTTCATAATAAACCAACATTAACTTACATTAAAAAACATTTATCTCCTAGAGCATTGTTCACTCCACTGCACATCCAGCCTGATGGCCTGTGTGTTTCTGGCTTTAGAGGTTAGTGTGAGGTCCAAATGGGAAAAATAGACTGAAGGCAATTTGTGTTTGTGACTCATTAGCAATAATCTGCTATGAAAGTGTAATTAAATGTTGATTTTTGGTTCCTTTATGGATGTTCAGTGGTTACAAATAAGCTGTACAATGTCTGCCTGTTTTGAAAACAGCATGTGATCGCAGAAAAAAACATGAATGGTGGACTTGTGATTGTCTATAAATAAAATCCTGGTTGGTCAGTTACAGTTTATGTGTTCTGGTGTCCTGCACAACCGATCCATTTGAGGTTCAGTCTTTCAGTGCTTGTAGAGTTTTGTTCCCAGCTGCCGCTCCTCCATTTGTGTTCCCGCTGCATGCTAGAGGGGAAGGAAGTAGACGCTGCCAGTATCCGCAGTTTCTGGCTTTTGGCCAGAAATGGGGATGTAGTACAGTGACCCTGACACGTCATACTGTCTCAGTGGCTGCGACGAAAGTCTGTAAGAAGGCACTGCTTCTCTAAACTATAAAAAGTTAAGAAACACTGAGAAAATCAGTTCTACATATTTGTGAGAGATTTCTGAGGGAAGAAGGCAAAGAAGAAAAATGGAAATAGTAGAATGAAGAAGAAGAAAAGGAGAAAGAAAAAAACAAAAAGTGTAATGGAAAATATCTACAAATAATTATAAAATATAGTACACATATACAAATAAAATATAAAGCACATATCAACATACATATTCTATGTGTATGTACATTAATTTCCATACTTACACACAATATATATTTATTTTTTAAATACAAATCTTTGCTTATTAGTCTGTGTTGACAGTAAACATTGTGATTAATATTTTATAGCAGCAATATTGAGAGTTAAGAGGAGAAGTTTAAAACTTTTGACCAGTTGTGAGATTTGTCACTAAATGCTGACTAATGGTGATATGAAGTTAAAATCTTTCTGCTGACGACTGACTGTATTTCTTCCTGTTATTCTTGTCACAGTGCAGACAAAAGTCTAAATCTCGACTCAGTGCAGGTGAAATAGCAGTATTAGATAAAATGTGAGATAAAATGTGACAGTTATGACAAGTTGCATAATCACATTTCTGATATCAATAATGATAATAACTGTGTTTAACATGTTTGTTTACATTCATATATAAACCGATGATATCTTAAAGAGACTTCAAGGGCTCTGTAATCATGTTTATCGCAACCCTCTGAAAACTTCGGACCCTCCTTTGTCACACAGATGAAGTCACACTTTACACTGCACGATCCTCTTCTGTGATCAGTATTCATACTCTACAGCCAGAGTTTATTGGCACTCTGTTAACTATCATTGGCCCACGTCTTCTTTGTCCTTTCCTGCAACACTGCTGGCTTCACCTCATTAGTTAAAGTCTGTAAGTGATATCTGTCATCGCTGGTTATGCAGGGCAACAGGACTAGGACCCAAACACAGACAAAGGGGGGAGCAGGACAACAGGTAGGCAATAAAGCAGACAGGTACAGGTAACCAAAACTTGAACACAAAAGCACAAAGCAAAAAACCAACAAAAAGTAACTAGGATGAACTGACAAGGGAAACTAATGAGGAGATGAGATGCAGGTGAGGTGGGGGACAGGGAAGGCCAGGTAAACTCCACTGCTGCTTCGACTGCGCTCATAAGCATATGTCAGCGTCCAGGATGTCCTATTTTAAAGAGATTCTTTATTATTGTAAGAAAAGTTAACACGGTATCATTGCTGTGGTGTGTGAGACCATGAACAACATTAATCTATCAACATCAAAACCAAACATACAGTTTGTTTAAACACCTATTTATTTTATTTCTATCTATTTTATCGCCTTACTTTGTACTCTTATCACATTTGAATCTGTTTCTATTTTAAAGCACTTTGGAACTTGGAAAAAAAGTATATATATAGGTATATATTTTTATTACCAATTACGATAGTATCATTGTGCCTTAAACACACGTGAAGACCAATTAGATCAAATCAGATCAATAATGAATGATAATTTTGGGATTTCTGAAAGGAAATAAACATCAACTGTTAATTTCCTGGAGAGGAAGGATTTAAGTAACTATTGATTACTCAGAATTAACACAAAGCCTCCTGATTCTTAAAGAAGCCTTCAAGTCCTCCAACACTTGAGTTTAGATAAAAATGGGGAACTAAATCAGAAACTCATGAAGTAAATGTGTGCTACTAGAGCAAAATGTTAATGCATGAGCTTACTCACCACTCCTGCAGCTCCTGATCACATAATTGAATTTCATACAATTAAATAAACTATTTTTTGCTCCTCTGGCTGCAGATATGTGAGCTTTTTGTTATAAATCCTACAAGATATCATAAACAACATGTCTCTCTTACACACACTCTCTGATATTCAACAGTGATTTGATGGTTTTCTGCAGATAATGTTTATTTCATAATGCTTATATTTTTAGCCAAGTATAATTCAGCAAACAGCTACAATGCCTCTCTTTGTGGTGATGGAACAGGCGCCTGTTTATCTAATAACAGACAGTAGACAGTCTCCTCTGAAACAATTACATGACAGATAGTGAATGTGTGAGTGGTGGATCTATTGAATCTATTGTGTGCACACTGTCCCTGCTGTCCCGACCCTGGAGAGTCTTTGTTCTGATTTATTAGAGTCTTATGACACCACGCATGAGATGGTGAAACACACACACACACACACACACACACACACACACACACACACACACACGTTTCTTACAATAACTGTTTTTTTCTTTTCTCCATCCGTGGATGAATATCAGCACGTGGCCTCCACGTCACATAAATATCAGCACCTTGGACAGCAGCCTCTGCCAGTACGCTGCTTACTGTGGATGGAGGAGCTCATCTCTGCTCTTCTCAGCCCCACAGAGGGAAGATGATTGGGGGGGAGGGGGAGTTTATTTTGTGGGAAACTGCGGTCTGTAACTATAGAGATAAAGAAGTTTTTGTTTTCCAGCCGAAGCGCCTGAAAAACATCTGAAAATCAAGTTTTTACCACCCTGAAGATCCCGGACTCATCGCTACAGCCTGCCATGTGGAGTGGCATTTTATTGTCCCACTGATTCATGCAGGCCTTGGTTTAATTTGGTGAAGGTGTGATGGTGGTGGTGATGATGATGAGGTGCAGTTGTTTTTAACAACCCGGAAGGGACAGTTGCAGTCTGCCGTCGGCTTATTTTGTGTGTTTGTGCAGGAATCCATATCCATCATCCTCTCGCTCCTCCTGATTTGTGGCGCAGAGATGGTCGGGGAGAGCACAGAACTGGCGCTGCAAGTTGTCGTGAAATGGATTTTTTTGGGTATTGTTCATCAGTTTTGATGTTTCCGGGTTTGTAACTTTGTAACTGGGTCGTCGGACCTGTTTTCAGGAGGGGAAAAGGTGTGGGACGAAAAACCCACTCGACCCACAAGCCAAAAATAAAAAAATAAAAGAATAGGCTCCAGCAAAGAAGAAGAGGAAACTGGTGGATTGATGGATGCTGCCACTGCGAGACAACAAAGGATGCACGCTTGTCACCTCGTGTAATTTCACCTCCGCTGTAGGTAAATGAGGAACTCAAATATAAATCGGCTTTAACTTAGTTGTTAATAGGATTTAATATCAACCCCCTCTCAGACACCCTCGCTGCTTTTCCGCATGCAGAGGAACAGACACCAACATTTTGATGATTTAAGACACCAAGAGGACCCGTTTGAACCCTTCGGGATGCCAATAAACACACCGGACTTGAAAATGTAGGCATGACAGGATGCTGTTGGACCCCATCTCACTTTAATGTTGGTGCCACAGTTCGTGGCTATCAGCCTCCATTGAATCCCGAAAGAAAACGCCTCTATCCATGAAAAATAATCCTTCCCTATTGGCTGGATTGCGGTGCACATGCTATAACAACAGGATATGCAAAGAGCTATGGGCTGATCTAATAGCCTATCATGTTTTCCGCATGCTTTTTTGACCGAGATCTGTATTGTATTGAATAGGATGTGAACTGTCTACTTGGATCAAATGGTTCAGATGCCATAATAATAATAATAATAGCCTAATAATAGTAACAATAATAATACTCATAATAATAATAATAATGCTGTATAATGGACCTGTCACAGTCAAGCTGAAGGCTGTTTTGTTTGTGCCTGTGTAGTGAAGCTGCTGAAGAATGTTTAAGTATCGGATCCGGATGTTTTTCAATGAACTCAAAGTGTTGCTACTGATGCGCTCCGGATCAAGCAGGAGGAGTGACACAGGCACAGACCCGGACACTCAGACCAGGATGCGAGGGCTCGCCATAGGGGGCTGTGGTTGGCCGCCGTTGAGCTGCTCTCACCGGGACGATGAGGAGGAATATTATGGATCTGACCCCCGGCCACGCAGCCTGGCGTGTGAGGAAAACGAAGGGGACAAACCCCAGGGAGAAGGCCTGGACGCCACTTCCCTCCCGAGTCTCTCAGAGAGCGGGATGCGATCACCGCAGTGCCGGATCTGCTTCCAGGGGCCGGAGAAGGTACTGTTAAATAATACAGGTGTTATTACTGTGGGCTCCAGGTACTCAGTAGGACCCTGGTGCCCATGCGTCCAGGTTCCTGGAGACTATAGGCATCTCAGCAGCACACGTGGTGCTCACGTGTCTGGAAGTCTGTATAAAGCAGGTCACCAGGTTCACAACCCCTCTGCTGTTTGAGTTCAAGCATTCATAGATATGCCTGCTATCAAGACAGTTGAACATTGAAATATGTAAATGTGAAAATTAATCAAATTAAATCAAACAAACCCAGCTGGCAACAATATTTGTTAAGATGTTTACATATTTAAAAAACAACACAGATTTCATACAAAAATACAACTAAAGGCATTAAAGGGATATACGGGAATTTAGTGCTGCATTTCCATGAAGTTAGAGGATGAGAGGTTTTACCAAGAATCATCAAAACTGAAGCATCAGGCTGAGATATCTTGACTTTCAGTCTGTAGCGTGGGTCAAAACACTCTACAATACCAGATCCTATATTTCCCTTAATGCAACTCAATAGCTTTAGCTGCTTTTCCACTGTATGGTACAATTAGACTCCAGTAGTTTAGTACCTGGTTCCTGGTACTTTGATTTTAAGGTGACGTGAATTCACTGCAGACCAGAAAACCCTGCATGTTGAAATAACCAAGCTACCATCAATAGTGTCCACAGTTTGTTCATTCCCTCAAAAATGGCATTCTGTAAAACCACACCATGGTCAGTTGACAAAGACGTATCACAAATCCGTGCATATCCTTTGTTATAAGAGTAGCAGCTCCTTTTTGTGTGTGTGTGTGTGTGTGTGTGTGTGTGTGTGTGTGTGTGTGTGTGTGTGTGTGTGTGTGTGTGTGTGTGTGTGTAGTTGGTGTGTGGATGAGTGAAACAGAGAGAAAGCTGTGAATGTGAGTGGTGGAGAGGAAAAAGAGAACAGTGAAGTTGTCAGTCTGGCAGTAATTGTAGAGTGTAGGTTACAGTTTATTAGTGAATAAAGGCTGCAGCTTCTCAAGGCCAAAATAAAGCTCTCTGTTGTTTCCTGGTTGTTTCACTATGACGATCAGCTCCACCGTTGGAGGGTCACTATCCAAAGTACTATCTACAGTGGAAAACCAAGTAGAGGTACCAAAAGAGAGTAGGGTTGAGCCGCACCATGTGGTGGACATACGGCTTGTGTCCATATGAGTTTGTAGCACAGCTTTTCTCTCAGATAACCCTGATGACATCACTATGACATGATCATTAACAGATTAGCTATTACAGAAGACATTATACAATTGTTTTCAGAGGCTGGAAAAAAGTAGTGTTTATAACAAATAAACAGACTTGTGTGCAAAATCAGTGGAATGGAAATCAGTTCACTGGCTCTATTTGATAGGATTGGGTGAAGAGTGACGGGGGTGCAGAAAAGGCATACAGTTTTAAAAACTCATGATGGAGATATGAGTCATTATACATTAATACCAAACTAGAAAAATCAAATCAGATATCTGTGAATGAGCACCAAGTCTGCTCCGATGCAAAGAAAATTCCAGAATGACTAAGAAAAGGAATCAATCCATCAACAGTGATCTGAAAATAGCAGTGGGCAGACGAAGGGCATCAGTTAAGAATAGGCTGGAGAGAGGCGAAGGAGGAGCTTTGTATGTTCTATGTGAAGCAGTGAAGTCCTCTAGTGAAGTCCTCTCAGTAATAGATTCAGCATCTGATACACAAAATTAGGCCATTTTATAAAAAGCCACGAAGAAAGGTTTCAGAGAATGTCTCTCGACACAAAAGAAGTTTATACTCGTTATTATTCTTGGCGATTTGAATGAAGGAGGCAGTATGAGTTCAGTAACTTGCTGAGTGACTCACATTTAATGCAGGGATCAAGTCTTTGATCATTCCTTTAGGCTACAGGAAGGCTTAAGTGTTTCCTACCCACATGAAGGAGAACAGCCGGGGTGGAAGCACAGAAAGTAGTGAAAATGTTTTTTTAAAAAGTTGACATTAGTCCAAGACGTGGATGTGCGAGTGCATCAAATCTAGTGGATGAATTCAACCTTGAAGAGACAGACTTTGCTAGAGGTTTCAGAAAGTTTTAGTTTCCCCTCCAGATATCCAACTAATTAAAGACCTCGCACATCACCTAGAGTCAGACAGGAAATAAAGTGAGATGTGCGAGAGCGTTGTCAGTCCGAGGGCCTTAGGGAGTCTCATACTGACAACAAAAACCTGTGCCAGATGTCCCGTGATTTCTTTTGAGGATACGGGAAAGTGACACGAAAGAAGCTCTGCGTATCCAGATGAAGGTGTTAAGCAGCAGTCAAAATGTATCAAAACAAGTATACGGTATAATCTCCCTTTATTACACTTTGATTCATGTTTTGAGCGCATGCAGCTCAAGATATAAAGGCACGTGTATGCTTTGACTGCAGCAGTGAGCATATCTGAAATATAACACTGAAATTTCCCTTTCAAGTCAGCACATAGCTATATATTCAGAGTTCGTACTGCTTGAAATATCTTCGTAATAATGATGTGCACCTGCTTTTATACCCTAATTGGCTCTAATAAAATAATAAAAGGGGGGGATCAACTGCTGAAAGGTTTTCTCAGGAATCCTGGCTGATCATTGCTGCAAAAATCTCATCACAAACGTTCATCAGGACTGAGTTATGCAGTCATTTTCTTTGTGAAATTCCTCATAGAGTAATTACAATTTGAACAACACAATCTCACAAAAAAGTGCAGCTCTGGTTTGTTCCAATTAACTCAAAAGAACCATAAAAATAGCAGTCGATTGGCAATGAAAGTGAACATTAAGTGCAACTGGGATGTGGGAGCTTTCATCTTACCGCCTCAGCTTCTCTCGCTCAGCACAGACAATGAAGAAGCTCAAACAGGGAAAAAAACATTGACTTGACCTGTGCATTGTAGATGTGTGATGAGTTTGCGTCATCACATTTTAACTGTAGCCCAATTTTGACTGAATGAAGATGTTACAATCACTGACCTTATTTTGTAATCCTAGGAAGATCTCAACATAACACTTGACTACAAAAAACCTTTCAGGGGTTATCCTGAGTGGATTCATGGCAGAACTGAACAGTTATCAAAGCTTTAATGCCAATTCTCTTTAAGTGACAGAATTAAAGTTTACTGGAAAGCTACATATATTGTAGGTGATAAAACCATTTCATTTGTGATATACCCTTGTATCACTTTATTATATTATATTATTCTATTTAATGTCACTTTGAAACCCTTTCTCTCTATGACAAATCAACATTGAGATGGGATTGAACGTTGCCTCTCAAATAATCAAACAAATATACTTATATCATATTCAACTATACCCAAAATGTATAAAAGACAATAACATTCATCAGTTAACACTCATATTTTGTCTTTATCTGTCAACAGTCCCAGTATTAAACTTCAGGTTCATCTCAAAAACAACCAAATCTGACCCAGATTAACTTTACCTTTTGAAGTGGTACTTTTTTCCTCTCCTTTCTGAACATATTATCCATTTGCATGCAGTATAGTTATTTATTGATGATATCTTTTGGTGCTTGCTCCAAGCTGTTATTATCTGTTTTAATCCCTTGCCAGCTTCCTCACAAAAACAACAGCAAATACAAAACCCCTCAAACGATACTGTACCTTCAGTAGATAAAATGTGACTGTAACATTGTCAGTTGATAAAGATCTTTATCTTTATTTTGTTTTTCTGTCATCTTCACTAAATTAAATCTTGAACCAGGCAGATTTAATAACAGCTTCAACATCCAGCTGCCTCTGTTGAACGCTGTGCATCCAATGCAGCTGCTGTTTGTGTCCTGCAGGGGGAGTTGTTGAGCCCTTGTCGCTGTGATGGCTCAGTGCGCTGTACCCACCAGTCCTGCCTTATCCGCTGGATCAGTGAGAGAGGCTCCTGGAGCTGTGAGCTCTGCTTCTTCAAGTACCAGGTCCTGGCCATCAGCACTAAAAACCCACTGCAGGTACAGTATAAACAGTTCAAAGAGCTGCATTAATAAAGTCCTCGACATTAGACTGCCAGGCTATACCAAAGTGTGTGGCACATGGACAAACAGACAGTATCACCAAATGATTTCAGTCTCTGAATGCTGGAACAGAGATATAATCAAATGAAACGCTCGTTCCCTCAGTTGCTTCTCTCGCTAGACAACCCCTGCATCTCTGACTGAACATTATAATAAAATATTTTTGGAGAATTAATGAGATGTAGTATTATTAAAACAGCGTAATTTATTTAGGAATTCTCTAATTTACTTGATTATTGTTTTTCTTATCTGTGTAATGTCTTTTGTGGAACGTTTCATTCATCTCAACAAGCTGCTTTCATTGCATTAACTTTGTTTCATGATATATTTGTTTCTAGAAACCAGCCGCAGAATGAATCAGGCTGTCATTTGTTTGGTTTTAAGACGTATGTAATGTATCCTACTACAGATGAGAATGGCAAAGAGGAGTGTGTTGAAGTTCATTAATGACTATTCTCAGTTCAGTTTCAAACCTGCATAATCAAACACTGTCATTCCCTGTGAAGCCCACTGATGAAGCTACAGAAAACATTTGGGAAATATGTGCTGAGATGAAACATGGCCCTTCGAATGTGCGGTGCTCAATAGAGGTTTTTAGAGGTTTTGTGCAACGGTTGGATTTACAAAGAAGAGACAAACCATTATATTATCTCACATAATCAAAGAGAATTGCACAATTCAAAATACAGGTGTCTCACTCTGTCTTTTCCAGTGGCAGGCCATTTCTCTGACTGTGATTGAGAAGGTGCAGATTGCGGCCATTATCCTGGGCTCTTTGTTCCTCATCGCCAGTATCTCCTGGTTGGTGTGGTCCTCTCTTAGCCCCTCAGCCAAATGGCAGCGGCAGGACCTTCTCTTCCAGATATGCTACGGCATGTATGGCTTCATGGACATAGTTTGTATAGGTGAGGTGGTTGTTTAGAATATTAACAAGTTTGCAATAATTCTTGATTTCAATTTCCTAATAATTTCCTGGAAAGAACAATGTAATTTGGTTCCATCATCAGGAATATAGAGAGTGTTTAATAGTAGAAGTCCAATGAATTGTTGCCTAGATAGTATTTAGGCCGGGGCATAACAGGTCAGCTGAGCATGCATATACATATGAAGAATAACGTTGAATTAATATTTACTTGGTTTAAATAGAAAATGAAATATCTGAAAATATGACATTTTGTCCTGATGCTACATGAAAAGTCAGGGAATCACCAAAGTCAGACTAGTTCAACCTGAAGGGGAACCAAATTTCATGGCAATCCATCCAAAGAGATATTTCACTCCAAACCACACATTTGAACCTTTTGGTAGCACCAGAGGAAAAGTGACCAAAGTTTCAGGACAATCCATTTAATAGTTTAAATGACATTTCACTTAAAGCAAAAAATACCAATGTACAGGCGGTGCTATAGAATAAAAGTCCAGTGATAAAGTCTATAGAATTTGTCTTCTGGAAACCAACGTCTGTACAAAATTTCTTGCCAATCCATCCAGTGGTTGTTGAGATGTTTCAGTGGGGAGGAAAGTGGCCGACTGACCAACACTATCAACAAAAATAATCAGAAATACCCAGTTGAAGGTCCAGTGAGTAAGATTTAATGGCATCTAGTGGTGAAGTTGCAGATTGCAACCAACTTAATACAGCTCAGCCTTCCGAGCTTGTAGGAGAAGCTACGGTGGCTGTTTAGTTTGTCCATTCAGGGCTACTGTAGAAACATGGTGGTTCAACATTGCAGACTTGAGGTCTTGCTCCTTCTGTAGATAAAAACGGCTCATTCTAAGGTAACAAAAACACAACCATTCTTATGATCAGGTAACATTAATAAAAACATACCTATGAATAATAGCAATGAAATAATGTGTGCACATTTGCATCAGTATATTTGTTGTGTTCTCTCTCTGACTGTTTTTTTTCCCATCAACACGTGTTTCTTGTCAAACATCAGTCCAAAATACCCACAAACAAGTCCAGTATATCTAATCTTTTTATTTTTGAGAACGTATAGTTCTTATTAACTCTGTACCTTTCAGTACTTCCTGATTCTCTTTGAACAAACAACTGTTTGTCTATATGTAACCCTGTTTCCTGCCCCCAACCTCCCCCACCATTTGTCCTTGCAGGCCTTATAATCCATGAAGGGTCGTCTGTTTACCGGATCTTTAAGCGTTGGCAGGCGGTGAACCAGCAGTGGAAAGTGCTGAATTATGAGAAAGCAAAGGACTTAGGTGACCCCATTAGTTCCAGCAGTAAAGGTCGTGTTGAGAGGAACTCTTCTCACACTGTCACAGACGGCGGACAGAGGGCGAGTCGACATGTCAGGACTATTCTTAACCACCACTGTGGCTATACTATTTTGCACATCCTCAGCCAGTTAAGACCCAACAACCTGCACCGTGCCAACCAGGAGGTGGTCATGAGGGTGACCACTGTATGAGGCAGGGGTATACTGACAAAAAGACTCAGATGTTTAAGGAGATCAAAGTGTTGATTGGGATTTTATTTTTAAAAATCCTAATCTGCCACATTAACACTGCCGTTAACTTCTAGTCTCGCAGATTCTCTCTGAGGTCAAAGTGGACATCGAGAGATGTTTCTGAGATTCGGGCAAAGGGAAAGAAAACATGGCAAATAAGACTAAATAAATACATTTTGAAAAACAAAAAGCTTTGATTCTTAAAACTGTTCACCACTTTTCACCATTTTTACCACCATGACCAATGTTACAAAATGTCATTGAACTGTATTGCTTTCTAAATAAAAAATAACATTAATGTTAATAGGTTAGATATGGATTTGAATCTATAATAGAAAGTTTAATGGTGAAAATGACTGTGCTCCTACTCATGTGACCACAGCCCCAACCCCCTCTAATTTGTTTAACGTATTCCTGAGGGTCCCCCGCGATTTGGTAGATTTTCACTTGAAGCTGCTTTGATGGATCAGACATTAAAAAGCCTAATAAAACTTTGAGACATGACACAATTGCTTAAAATGTACCCTTAAAGTACGATTCATGTTTTGTAATAAAGATTTTGTTGATCTCAAAGGAAAACTTTGTGTTTTGTGGGATCTTTGATGGATCTTAGTGAATGTGGTTTGAAAACAAATGTGATACTCTTTATACTGTAAATGTGGACTGGATTTTTCCTGTAGGGATTACACAAATGAAATGAATGATATTTGTAATGTGATAATGTATAAATTTAGTACGAAAACAAAACGAAAAACAATCCTTCCTTCTTCTTCTTCTTACAACTGACCTCAGTGGCAGATATTTGCTTTATATTTAATTCTATATTATTCAGACTTCCTCTACTCTGATGTTATTGTTAGGAGATTGCACATCATTCCCTATTAATTCAGATTCAGATAATAAATATGAATATTGTTGCAGTTTTTGTCTTTTTATAATAAATCTATACCCTCAGGCAATCCAGACTCATCTAAATTTAATATGAGCATGTGACTCTGACACGATGCATACAATCAGTGTTACTGAGCATTGATAATAAAGGTATTCATCACAGCTTTACTGCATTACTGTAAAATGTGCGATATATATCTGAAAATGGTTTCAGCAAGTATAGTTATGAAGTGAAAACACTGGTTTAATGATACAGACGAACGTTTATCAAAAAGAATATTAAATATTATTTTCAAATAAAAATATTAATGTGATTCTACTGTTGCTTTTCCTCATCCTGTCTGATACTCACAATGTCTCTGCAGGGATGTTTCTTTGAACAAGTTATTTCTGCAAACCAGCAACATCAAATAACACAAATCCTGAGTTTAAATATTCAGGGAACTTTGTCACAATATTTCCCTTCTGTCTCTCTTCACTGTCAATTATCAAATGAAGATTTTTTTAAATCTGGAAAAAGCCTGAAAAATGAAAATCTATTCACATCCTGTTAGTCCACAGAATATTTCAAAATAAATCTCAAAAATGTATAAATCTCATAACTACGGTTAGACAGAGTCAAAGATAGAGCTCAGTTTGCAGCAGACATGTGCATCTATGGACATAAACGTGTCTCATAAAGCCTTAAACCAGGAGGGAGCCTTAATGTGTCACCACAATCTTGACAGAGTGAGTTGAGAAGGATATTAGAGTTGACTCAGAAGACACCCAGAGGGAACTGCAGCATTTCCATTTATTAGACAACACAGTGAAAATGATCAGTAAAATCCAACCATAAGGTTCATCCTGCAGAGAGAAAAAATTACCTGACTGAGCTTTTGCTGTAGAAGTATACAGGATCCACTGGGAAAATGTCTCACAAGAGCAGATAGAGTGTGTTCAGAGTAGTATTCATTTTACTTTATACTCTGTAATCTTTATGTTTGGTTGGGCTACAGTTTCTATTTATTTTATTTTATTATTCAAGTAAAAATAAAAGTAAAATAATGAAATATTCTGGGTTCACAGACTCTCTCATTACTTTGACAAATGTCAGTCCAACAAAAGCAACCTAATAACGATCAACTTAAATGTTACACATCAACAAAAATATTCATTTTAATTTATGGATAATACTATAAAATAAAACATAACTCTGCATTAGTTCAAAATAATAATGTGGAGTCATTTTTAGTGTGTAAATACCACAGTGTGTAGTTTCATTACACAGTTCCAGTGTTTATTTGTTACTCTACTTATACACTTTTGCTGAACTTGTATTTCACTCGGCTATTTCCATTTTATGTTATACCTGCACATTAAAGAGGCAAATAACGTTCTTTCTCCGCGAGGCCTACATTAATCAGATGGCTATACTTTCACTGCATATTCAGATTTTACACACAAAACATTTGATGATCTCTGATAATTCAATTTGCACAATGTCAAATAAGTTACCTGATAGTAGGCTATATTAATTAGATTAGTTATAATGAGCCCCACCTCGACCACATATAACACTGGTTACCAACCTAAGAAATTGTGCTTCTCAAAACTAGGTTTAATCTCCAGACTTTTCTCTCATCATGAAATGTAATATTATTTTACTACTGTTACTGAAATTAAACAATGAAAGAACGGAAACTGATTGAACTGATCAGACAACAATAACCTCTGATAAGAACACACCACTTTGTGTCTTTGTGTTTTCGCGTATCAATGATCCAACAAATAGGCATTTAAATTTGACTCAAGAAATTTACTTTAAGTATCAAAAATAAAAGTAATTTACTATCCTTAGACACAGTAAGTAAAGTACTTTTGTTTTTGAAACTTCAAGTAAATTCAAGTCAAATGTAAATGTAGATGTTGTGTGGACACAGATATAAACCACTGACTGTATATATAAGACACACACACACACACACACACAGACACAGGCACTCTGCTCCTCTTCCACCATAAAATACTGAAACCTTTCAACAAACCTGGCAACCGCGAAGGCGCTCCGTGATGACGTCCAAACGCCGCGACTCGTTGATAAACTAGAAACAAACGTGACTTCGGGACTCGACGTTCAGAAGAAGAAACCTTTATTTAATCAATACGTGAATATTGTTTCAGAGGGAGCAGCGTCTTTATTTTAATCCAACATGAGTTCGTCAATGCCGCAGAAGCGTTACTACAGACAGCGAGCACATTCAAACCCGATGGCTTACCACACGTTTGACTAGTGAGTGTGTGTGTGTGTGTGTGTGTGTGTGTGAGTGTGAGTGAGTGAGTGGTGAGTGGTGTGTGTGTGTGTGTGTGTGTGTGTGTGTGTGTGGGTGAGGGAGAGGGGGGGGGGGGGGGGGTGTGTGTGTGTGTGTGTGTGTGTGTGTGTGTGTGTGTGTGTGTGTGTGTGTGTGTGTGTGTGTGTGTGTGTGAGAGAGAGAGAGAGAGAGCGTGTGTGTGTGTGTGTGTGGAGTGTGTGAGTGTGTGTGTGTGTGTGTGAGACCTGCACTGTCTGTCTGTCACTACCTGCTGAGGTTAACACTGTCAGTCTAACTGTGCGTTTATAAACTCAGTGAAGTGAAGTGTTGTAAACTGTTTGCTGCTCATGTAAACCCTGGGGGGATTGTTTGTTTTTAGAATCAACAGAAACACCTTGTCAGCTGTTTTAATAGTTGCATTAAAAACCTCCTCTTTCCTCCTCAGTCCTGTGTGTCCTGAGGAAATGGACTGGTCCGAGCTGTATCCAGACTTCTTCACTGGAAACTTTGAGAAGGAGACCCCCCGAGTTGAGTTTGCAGACATTGGATGTGGATACGGGGGGCTTTTAGGTAGCTACGTCGCTCATCTGATCACCTACATTTGTCACATTGTTCTGCGCTGTTTATCCTTCGTTCATGTCTCTGTTTGTGTCTTTACCTTCACCCAGTGGAGCTGTCTCCACTCTTCCCGGACAAGCTCATCCTGGGCCTGGAGATCCGAGTGAAAGTGTCCGATTATGTTCGGGATCGGATCCAGTCGCTGCGTGCCTCGGAACCAGGAAGCTACCAGAACATCGCCTGCCTTCGCAGCAATGCGATGAAGTACCTCCCCAACTTCTTTTCCAAAGGACAGGTAGGTAGGTGTGTGTGTGTGTGTGTGTGTGTGTGTGTGTGCTGCTCTGTGAGGACACATGGGAGTGTTTCATGCTCCTGATTAGATGTTAATCAGGAAGGGGGCCTAAGCCACTCAGTAATGAGGAGTTCCTCCAGGGATTTCTGGTCTGGAGAGGTTGCAGTTTTGCCTTCCTGAGTATATGTATAAAATATGTATAAAATGTATGAAACAACCCAGTTCAGCAGCATTATTTTCAACCCAGCTGTGTCTGAATACAGTTCCAGTTTGGAAATGAAATAAGTAAGATATGGATATTTATTTTCCACAGCCTTCTGTGTGTATTGGTATTGGAACTGACTTTCAATTTTCCAACCATTCCTGCACGTTTATTGAAAAACAATTCAATAGAAGTCACAAACTGTGTTTCACTTGTTGAGAAAATCAACTGAAGGTAGATTTGTGGACATTTTGTATCGGAAGAACAACATGCTGTAAAATATGTTTAGGCTCCTCATCCGAATGTTTCACTATACAGTAAAAGTATTCCAGCACATCTTTACAAACTACGTCTGCATGCCGAGACACCATTGGAGGGGCAGTTTTTTGTAAGCCAGGTGAACCGACCCACATACAGTTTATGTAGAAATAACGAAATAATAAATAATATATGACAGTAATTGAAACTGAATTGGAGCTCGTATACGAAAGGCCTGCAGTTCTATAATAGCTAATCCGACAGGGCCTGTAATAACCCTTAAAGTAAAGCTGGCAGTCTAAGCTGGCACAAGATGGGTGACAAATTAAAGGAAAAACCTGAATAAATGAGAGGAGCAACACAATGAATGCAGATACTTTCACACAGGTGCACTACAATTAGATCTGAGTTTTGAAGAGGGTTCACTGATCGCAGGAGCTTCAGTCACAAAGACGGCTCAGTTGACTAGTGTTTCAATAAGAACAGTGACTGAACTGACTTCTGCATTTAGAGAAAGACATCAGTAGATAGGGACAGAAATTGTGGTCGACGGAGTATTTGTTAACCCTGATGTTTGTGCATTAGTGTGATAGGAAAGGTAAAACAGAAGAGCAGCTCGTCCAATGTCGATGGTCAGTCTGTTAACAGTCCAACAATGTAGAGAGGGATAGTTGGTTGCAGTGCATAAACCCCTCATTACAAAGATCAATGCACATTTGAGAGTCCAGTGGTGTAAAAACTAAAGGTGACTAAAGTGAGACAGTCAGATGAGTCGTCCTTCACCATATTCTCTACAAGTGGGCGAGTGCATGTTTGGCATACACCAAGAGGGACGGTACAGGCCGGAATGCTTGACCCCTACAGTGAGGGGATTTGGTGGCTTTGTTATACTGTGGGCGGCATTTTACTGGCATGGTTTGGGTCCAGTTGTCCCCTCAGAGGGAAGTGGACCGTCTCTGCAGATCAATGCAAAGTTGTTCTGAGTCACTCAATCACCTTTGTCCTGTAATGAAAATAATTTTTTTTGTATTTAAAGTGTATTGAAGCTGTTCTGGCAGCATGTGGTGGACCAACACCTAACTAAGACACTTTATGTTGGTTTTCCTTTTAATTTATTACCCGCCTCTATTAAGAATATGCAGCCCAAGCATTGCTGACTTAAAATAATGACTTTTCTTATGTTTAACATATGGACTGCATTAATTTATATGGATTGCTCAATAAATCCAGGATTTCACAACAATGGGTTCATTGACTGACACGCAAAGCATCGCATCAGCTGAGCATAGAGCAGTGCAAGACGGCATTTATCCGTTCCAATTAGCTGCAGTAATCTATGACTTGTTGAAACTCGCAGTAGATTACACAGTGGGCTTAGTGTACCAGGGTTAATTTAGGTACCCTGAATAAAAAAAACGTAAACTCAAATGCCCCGAGCAAGTACAAACTAAGAAATTAACACAGGAGAGAGTAATTGCTGTAACACTGACATTTATGGATGCAAATTATATAGGTGTTTTTTATTTGAAAACAGATGCATTAATTTAATTTTTTAAATTATTTTAATATGCTCTTTCAGGTCATTTTAAAATAATATGACTATTATTGGCACAGCCAGAGTTCGGCTTCTTGCCAAGGTGAGACTGTAAATGTTTAAGAGGAAAGAGACTTAGTGGCTTGTTTTGCAGATGGTGACACTCCCTTCAGCTCGTTCATAAACTTCATTTCTTTACTTAATTTACCAGACATGAACTTTTTTTTTCCAGCTGTGGCTTGCTGTTGTAGTAGCTGTAGTTGTCTTCCTCGCTCATGATTAGACCAAAACTGTCTGCACTACCCAGATTTTCAAAGCGGAGGAATAAACGACCACCCAGACTAGAGCTCAAAATCTAGTCCCAATCCTTCTCACATGCATGATGTGTTTCAAGTGTTGAAACAGCATATTCAAAAGACCTGAAATGCTTTTTTTTTTTTTTCTTCTTGTTTCTTCTTGTTTTGTAACCCAAAAATAATTCAAAGTGTTAAGGTTTTTCCATTCTCCATCAGCACTGAAGTGGCCCCTGAGGCTGCAGCAGTCCCCAGTGATTATCCCCACATTTTTCTGTCTATACCTGACATTATTTATTTTGACTAATAAAAAGTTACTGGAATGGTTTTTAATGTATCAGCCAGACTAAAATCAATGGAGCCTTCACTTGTACACTTGTCAAAGACAGAGACATGGGGAACTTTATGGAAAGAAAATAAAATCAAGGAGGGAAATTCCAGTTTTGCAATCTGCGGTGCTTAAAAACCAACCACATCATATAATGGGGGCCACATTTAAGTGATGACACTCATACATTTTAGAACCATGGTATCAAAGTGCATAAAAATAGAAAGTTTGTGTGGGAATGATACCAAGTAATGACTAAAGTTTAATAGGGCAGTTGTTGTTTTTTTTACTGTTTCTGACCCTTTCTTGTTCTGTCAGCTCAGTAAGATGTTCTTCCTCTTCCCTGACCCTCACTTTAAGAAGACCAAGCACAAATGGAGGATCATTAGTCCCACATTGTTGGCAGAGTACGCCTACACACTGAGAGTCGGGGTAAGTACAGAAGACTTTAGAGAGTTGATTAACAGATATTAATTTTGATAATTTATCAAGCAAAGATTCCAACCATTCACTGGTTTCTTTTTAAAATGAAATGAGTGGGGATGAATAGATCATTGTAAATGAAATCAATTTGTAGATTTTGCCTCAAGGACATTTCTGACATTTTTTAGCTACAGTTAGAGCTTTTGTTCCAGCCGAGGCTCTGAATCAGATACACAGATGTAAACATAGTAATTTCCTGAATTTAGGTAAAACCTTTTTTTTAATGTCAGTTCAGCCAAAATACAGAAGAAAACCATATTTTCCTACTTACCCCTTGTGGCATCTCTCTATTAAAAGATAAGGCATTATTCTATATTTTTCCTACTGTCAACAAATCCAATGAAAGACTACAACCAACAATATATTTGTCAGTTTCTGTGTCATCAGCACAAACTGTTGGCGGGATTACTCATACCTGCTGAAGATGGAAGTGATTAAAAAACAAATATATAGTTTCATTTTAAATGGTTAAAGGTCCAGTGTGTAACATTTAGTAGGATTTATTGGCAGAAATTGAATATAATCTTCATAGGTCTGATCGTTGTGTTTTTGTCACGTTAGAATTAGTCTTTTTTTATCTACAGAGTTTGCCATGTTAAACCGCCATGTTTCTACAGTAGCCCTGAACAGACAACCAAACACTGGCTCTAGATTGGGCCATTCATGTTTTTGTGCCCACCATATTTTCTCCTACACCCCTGGAAGTGGAACCCCCAATTAGTTGGTTACAGTCTGCATTTTACTGATGGATGCCACTGAATCTTACACACTGCACCTTTTAAATTATTGATTTCCTAAAACAGCTGGGCACTGTAGTTTTGTAGAAAACAGTATATTGGGCATTTATTAAGGGACTATTTTCTGCTGCGCAATAATACACATTTGGTGCACTAGTGAGTAATTGCAGCAGCAGGATGGTGGGATGGACCGTGATAAACTACAGTGCCCATGTTCATCACAGTGAAGGAACTTGTCACCCAATGCAACAGTGTGTCTCTCTTGGTTTTTGGAGTGGTTTGTCTGGGTGCACAGTGGCTCATATGGTAGAGAGTAGTGTACCTGGGTTAATTTAGGTACTCTGGATGAAAAAAAAAAAGGTAACCTCAAATGCCCCGAGCAAGTGCAAACTAAGCAATTAACACAGAGTAATTGCTGCATGTCGTCCCACCTTTCTCTCCACCCTTTCCTGTCTATCTCGACCTGTTCTATCAAATAAAGGCATTTAAAAGCACATAAAATATCTTAAAAATGTATAATGGTTTGTCAGACTTTGGCTCCACAGACAAAACACATTTTATATAGTAGTATAGTATACAGTATCACAAGCCTTATGGTTTAAAATACTGTAGCTTCGGTTATAATAAATATATATATAATGTATGTGTGTGTGCAACTGAGACTTTTGCCACCACCACAACACAATGAAGAACTGGACTGCATTCATAGACCTCCATAGCACTGAAAAGTATCTCAATCTCACTCTCCCCATCATTTTGTTAATCGATTGCAGTGTGCAGAAATCCATGAATTCACTGAAATAGAATTGAGCAACCGGTGTGGCCTGCAGCTGGTTGACTTCTGTACACACCCTGCTTCTGCCTGTCAGAGCAACAGTGGGACACTTAAATAAGGCGTGAGCGCTGATGGAGGTTGTAGGGAACAATGAAAGGCTTGTGTCTAAATTTGACTTTATCGGTTTTTCCTCTGGTGTGTGCATTGATGCGTTCGTGCATGTGCGTGTGCTTGTGTGCGTGTGTGTAAGCTATGCTAGGGCCGTCAGCATTGGCATGGAGCCATAACTGTGCTGGTGGGTGGGGAGGCTCTCAAGAAAATGCTCATTTATAGCAGCAGTTTCATACCAAAATTAACCCCAAATCTGTCTTTTATTACTGAATATCATCTGAATCAGACTACTGAAACAGTAAACAGGTGTTATTAACAAACATGAATCTGTGCGTACAGCAGGCACGTGCTCTGTCATCCTCATCCTGTCCTCTGAAACACAACCCGTACGTGCCGACAGTGTGGAAATCTGTGCCACTGCTGATTTTTCTAGGAAATCGTTATTCAAGTAATGTTATCTGTCCAGCCTCCAAAGTAAACTACAGTAACATAGGTGATTAACCTCTGTGTTGTCTGTACGGTTATTTTTATCATTTTAGGAAAGAGCACTGCTCCTCCGAGGTGATGAAACTCTGAAGCTGAAATGTTGATTCAAAACTTTATTTTTTTTGATACATTTTTTGTTTATTTTGTGATCAATAAATGGATCCGTGTTTAGCCACCAAGTCATTTTTCTTAGAACTGTGTTAATAACCTCCCTGTGTTTGTCTGCTCATGTCAGGGTTCTGTGTATACCATGACAGATGTGGAGGAAGTACACCTCTGGATGGTGAAGCACTTCACTGAACATCCACTATTCACACGTGTCCCCGAGGAAGAACTGGTACGTTGACGTGCAGCTTGTCATCCCTGTGTTTGCAGCTCATGATTTGTTGTGCATTTGCTCATGAACTGAATTTTTTTCAGGAATAGTTCCACATTTTCACTTTCTTAGTTAGATTAGAAAATGACTAAAACTCTCATGTTAGTTCGCTAAATATGATGCTGCAGCCAGCAGCCGATTAGCTTAGCTTATACAGCATTCATGCCCTGTTGGAATAGGTTTGATACCACTCTTATAGCTGTGTGTTAAGTATGAAGATACCTCCAGCAGTCGGATAATTTAGCTTAGCATAAAGAATGGAAACATGTAATGGTTAGAAATTAACACATTAAATCCTGTTTGTTTAATCTGCCTTACATGGGTTTATGTACACATTTCTTGGCCGGACCAGGAACTTCCTGGAGTCTTCGCTTGTTGCTAAGCTCAGTTCACCAGGTGCAAGTGGCAGCTTCATATTTACTGCACAGACATGAGAGTGCTAATACCGTATTTCCCTGAAGGTTGTATTATTCCTTTGAATAGTTATTCGATGATGATTTTTAAGTTAATGAAGAGAGTGAATGAACTGTCTCAAATATCTTAATCCTGTGATGTAATTGTGTTCGATCATATTTTGACAGGTTGGTGATGTCATTATAAGTCGTTTGGGTACCTGTACAGAGGAAGGAAAGAAAGTCCAGAGAAATGGAGGGAAGAATTTCCTGGCAGTTTTCCGTAGGGTTGAAGATTCAAACTGAAACCGTTTGGAGAGAACAGTTCGGACATGTGACGAAGGGAACTAATGTTCTCATGCAGTCGTCTATACGTGGAGAATTATGCTGCAAGGCGGAGCTGGAGACTGCAGCTGGTTCCCCCAGCAGATGAACAGTTTTTCTAAGATGACAGAAGTTTTGGGTTTCAGTTTTTTCACATTATTTATGTATTATGCATTCCTCAGCTCACCAAGACGGCAGGAGAAGGATCTTGATTCAGACTCGACTTTGGAAGTGTTTTGCTTCGCTTTTTTAAAGATTCATTTTTTAAAATCTTTTGACACCCTCTGAAGTGCTGTTCTGGATTTCCTGTAAAGCTGTTAATTATTTTAGTAAAACAAAAAGTCTGTGTTTGGTTTGGATCATTGTAGCCATTATGTTGTGCTTTGTGTTGCTCTTATTTTTAACTTTAGTCCTTTGACTTGACTTGAAGAGGAGTTTTAGGTTTTCTGAGCACAGCTATCCAAATATATTTTAATCTAATCTAATCTAATCACGTTACATAAAGCAAGGCCCTGGTGTTAGAGTATTATTTTGAAAACTCTTTGAAATCATGAACAATTCTCTCCATTGATATAACTTTGTTGGCTTCATGGTGGTAATTGACAGTATTGGGAGATGAATCCGAAATGGATTAGACTGAGAAGTCTACCACTAGCTTGTTTGCTGTGGGTTAAAAATAAACCTGCATGTTGCAGCGTGTTCTGTAAGCAGTGAATGCAGCAGAGCGTTCAAACTGTGAAGACTGTGACAGAATTGTGTTTAAAATCCTTTCTGCTTTTTTGACAAAAGTTTTTTATAAGAACTTGTTTAATTAATACCTGTAGACTTGAAGACATTTTTAGATAACCAGTAGTTCTTTGTAATGTAATTCAGTGATTTAAATCAATTGGACCACAGTTGGTGTTGCTCCTACATGTCATATTAAAAGAAAAAAGACCCATTATCTTCATCTACTAGATGTATCTGCTGGGGAACAAATCAAAGGATTTAACAAACAGTGGTTTTCTGTGCTCAGGATTTTAGCTGTATATTACAGGTTGGTATTTTTGTCTTGTCAGGAGTTTGGAAACGGGACAGTGCAGGTTTGAGGCCTTTTTGCTGCTGCAGGAGGTGGTGATTAAGAACAGGACAGCACATGCCTCAGTGATGGAAACCCAGACACTGGAAAACTTTAGATGATCGCACAGAGTAATTGAAGTAAAAGTGGAAAGTAAAAATCATACAATTAATATTAGAAAACATTTTACGTTTGTGTCCTTTGCTAAGGTTATTGGTGTTCTGGCATTATTTGGATATATTTGTCTTTCAGAAACCTTTTTCCAAATCTTAAAGTCCATCTGTGAACAGATGATGAACATGTAACATACAGCTCTCATACAGAAGCATTTGCTCAGAGCCTTGACACTGAGTGCTTCTGCTCCAGGCCAAACAGCACCAGGTTATGATGAAATAGTTGAAGCTTTTAATAGTGAAACAATATCTCGGGTTATCTGTACCTATGGAAAACATATTCACTGATTGATCCACGGGCAATTATTATTTTAAAAAAATGTTTTTCATTTAGATATATGATAAATGTTTCCTGTACAGCATTAATCATGAAATGAGAAATAGTCTTAACTAAAAGAATAAAGCAGCCTTGTATATTTGCTTCATGGCACATTATTTAGTATATTTTATTTTTATAATATTGTTCATCATACAGTAAAAGGGAGGTTACTGTAAAATCTCTCTAAAAACTATTGACACAAGGCCCACTTACTTGGATTTTCCAAAGATATCAGCCACATCTCATGGCCTTCCATAACAGCAGAGCAACCCCATCTGCTGATGAGGACCATGAAATGTGGCTGAAAGCATCTAAATTTCCAAGTAAGTGGACCGTGTGCTGAAAATTATTTGCCAAACTGCTTTTTCCAACTTGACCTTCAAGCTCAAATCTACAATCCACATATGCTTTGAAATATACAGCAAGAATTTCTTATGGTGAGAAGTGTTGTGGGGTTTTTTTTTTTTTTTTGCCTTTTCATGCCTTTATTGGATAGAGACAGCTGAAGATTGAAAAGAAAGGGGGGTAGAGAGAGACGGGATGACACACAGCAAAGGGCTGCAGGTCAGATTTGAACCCAGGGGCCGCTGCAGCAACTCAGTATATGAGTTGCCAGCTCTACCAACTGAGCTAACCGGGCACCCTTGGTGAGAAAATGTTAACCAGTCTAGTCCATCAAATTTGATGTTGTCGAGGTGCCGCTGTTCTGTTATCACTTATTATTGCCATGTGGTAACAAAGCTATTTGAGCCAGCCAGAGTACATCATTTAACATTTTAGTATCATCAGGTCATCAAACATGAGATTAATTAAACGCGCTGCAGGGGAATCTAAGAAAGAGAAACTTAATGATTAGCATTTGGCAACACTCGTAAAGCAATGTGGATGTTCCCTTTGCTTCATAACCAAAGAATTTGTTGCATCTGGATGTCAGAAAGTTATTGAGGTCAAAGTTTAATCCCCCTCCGAATGTTTTTACAGAGGCAGGTGTCCACTGTCATAAGTTATAACATACAAGGACGTGTTAAAACTTTAGTCTGATTTCATTGTCGCCTTTCTCCTCGGCCCGTTTCATCACTGTAAAGTGTCAATGATCTGGTCGTTACACACAGATAAACAATATAGTTTGACAGTCTGAGAAATGCTGTCTTGCCAATAATTACATGAGGAGATCGCTACCACTCTTTGTCTGCACGGTAAATATGAAACGACAGTGTGAACCATCATAATGTCACTCATTGGTTAGTGGAGTACCAGCATTATGCCCGTCCCCATGTTAGTTTGTTGCAGCTAGCAGCAGAGACGTACTGCAAGTTGAGCCACACACATTTGCTGCTTTTGGTTTCAACTCGTTCGTTGCCTGGTCACACACGTTCTCATATTACAGATAAACCGTGCACTAAAATATGTGAAATATGTCAAAATAAAATAAATAGAGAATTTTGATTCATATTTGATCAGCGCTCGCTAGTTTCACAGTTTATGTTTGTCGTGCTGGTCAGAGTACGGAGAATGACTTTGTCTGTTTTGCTCTAAATTTTACAAAATGATCACGCTGTATGGAAGACGACTTGAAACTAACGAGTGAGACCATAAACTGATCAGGAAAGTGTTTACTGAGCTAATAAATCAAGTGACAAGTAGGGTCATTTATCCATAAGACTTAATACAATCAGACTTTTTTTGCATGCAGCTGCCCCCTGCTGGTCATTAGAAAGAATGCACTTTAAGATACTTCAACATTGACTTCACCTTCCGCTGGCCACTAACTATATGCTGTCAATGAGCTACAGCCAGCAGCTTAGCTTAGCTTAGCTTAGCACAGTTAGCACAGAGACTGGGTAAACAGCTGGCTAGCAAGGTAACAAAGTATGCTGACCAGCAGCCTGCAGTTGTAAGGTGCGGTTATGTGGGGCTCCAGCAAGGGGGTCCGTGCCCCCCCCCCGCTGCCTCCCCATCATGAGTCACATAAACATAATAAGCTTCTGAGTAATGAGTACTGTACTGTTTTTCCCATGAAATAACAAATGAGTAGCCAACTGATTTGACGTCCATCCACGAATGTGTGAATTGTACAAAACGCTGAATTATTCCTTTAAAATGCTTCATCTTCTTTGGTCTTCATTCTCCCAGACATTTTCAAAGCTTTTAATGCTGTCAGTCATCATGAAGAAGGTCTCTGATCTGATCTTCTTCCTACATTCATAATAACATCACACAACATCTCCTACTCCTTGCCAAGTCACTGGCAGTCTTTTCCTTCCTAATACTCAGGTTGAGGCGTGCATTTCTGCTGCCTGGTTGACGTCTCCAGCTGGATGTCTGCCCACCACCTCAAGCTCAGCAAAACCCAATTGAGCTGCTGTACTTCGACAGAAAATCCTGACTCATTTCTTCCCACAGTATTAACAATAATGTTGAGATTCTACACAACCACATCACACAAAATCTCAGGATTGCGTCAAATCCTTCCTCACTTGGGACTCTCTGGTCTGGACTAATGAGAGACCTCAACTGACCTGGGTTTCTAGCCTACCAGCCTACATAACAATGAGTAAAACACATTTTGACTAGAGAAGACTTTAAGAAAGCAAACCTTGGAATAGTAACACCTTGTTCATTTGTTTGTCCCATTTCTAATGATATTTCAGTTTTGTAAGATCATAAGTTAAGTTTTACTCTAAAAGTCCAAAGGCAGAGATGTTGGCACTCAACTATAATCCAAACAGCCCAAGTCCCTTATCTCAAGAATCAGTTTGCATTTATTGAAGCAAATTCTGAGGAAATCTTGACATAAAAACTAAAAATGTTTCAACTGAAAACACCTTTCTTATAGTTAGATGACTAACCTGACGCACTCAGAAAATACACTATTTGAGTGTAAATGATTGTCAGTGGGGTCATTATCAAATACAGAAACTTTACAGTTATCTTCATCAAGTCCATAGTTGTTCCACCACCACATGTAAGTGATAAATATTAAGAAATGTGATCTGTCCAAACCTTTCAAAGTAAGCTTTGCTGCTGATGGAGACCAGTAATTATTCTGAAGCGGAGAGCAGCTGCAACTCTCTCAGCCTCTCTAACTGTTTACATCTGTTGCCCATGACATCATGACTGCTTCATTATTTAAGTCTGCTTGCATAATATAAGCAAAATTTGACACAGTGCCAAGTGGTCACCAGTCATGTCTGGAGCGCTGTATGCTTGCTATAGGTTAGGCTGAATCTGTACTTTGTCCTCTTGATAATAGACAAAAGTCTTTGAGTCTGTAGTGCTGTCTGTCCCTTCTACAACTCTACATGGATCCCCTAAATTAATTCATCTTAGAAGAATAGTTCATTCGAAAACACTTTTCATGATGTGAGTAAGATGAGAAGATTGATATCACTTATGTCTGTGCAAATAAAGTTTAGCTTAAATTGGCACAAACACTGTCTTGTTTGTTTAAAAAGTCATTATGCTTGGGTTTTTGTATGAATTAAATGAGCAACATATAATACTGGTGAGCTTTAGCAGGCTGCTACCTTTGCATTACGCCCACTGGTTCCAGTCTTTGTGCTGAGCTAAGCTAACCATCTGATGGCTGTATCGGCAAGAAAGTAAAAGAAAATTCAAAAGAAAGAATAGATTTTCCCTAGGCACTTTGTTTTCTGACACCGTTACAGCTGAAGTTCAATTTGAGAAGAAGAGTTCAGAGTTCAAAAGAAGCAATTCAGTTTACAAATTGCCAGGAAGCTAATGCACATTCTTGCTCCCAAGAGAATAAACCTTTTCATTTTGGACTCTCCACTTGCCTTCTTCTGACGCCTGTCTCAAGCCAAAATGTTAACTTTGCACGTAAGCTATCTCGTAGGCATATTGCAATGACATTTACTGAGCTCATTTAAGTTCCCAAAGGCCTTTTGTAATGAATCATTCCATGGATTTCCTCGTGTCATCCTAGGGAACGTATTTTACAGTGTTATTGCCATTACTGTTTATACCATACAAATGGCAAAATCATTAATATTGTTTCTTCCATCTGATATTTTCTTATTTATATTTTGGTGCATAAGGAACAATTACAGCTTCCAGCTGCTATCAAATTTTCCTGAAAATAATAATCAAAAGAAAGGAAAAGTCCATGTAAAAATGGAGCAAAATAAGTTTATGAATCTCACTATGGCTCTGAGTGGCTGAGGTAGGGACAGATTATATATAGTGTCAAGAATACAACAAAGTACAGCAAAAAGAACTTAAACTCCTTTGAAAATCTAGATAAATATAATCTTAAAACATCTTTAGATAAGTTATCTCAACAATTTAATTACAACATGTGTATGTACTTGAGTTTTATATACCATACATACCATATAAGATCTGAGAGGCCTGAAAAACAACAGAAAAAACCA